CACCGGTGTCCTTGGGCAGTCGAGGGGGGTTGGCACATCGCTCAGTGTCCTTGAGCTGGTCACCCCCAAAGGGTTCAGGGGTGAGCAGTGACCGAAGGGGACAGCTGTGCCCGCGGGTGGCCCCAGCCCTGCCACTGGCCCTGTCACTGTCCCTGTCACACAGCTCCCTCTCCTGGCTGCTGCACCGGCCCTGCCACGACCGTTCCCGGTGACACGGGGGCCTCACGGGGGGACAGGGTCACATCACGGCCCCCCGGGGGTCCCAGGGAGGGGGAACAGGATGACACCGCACCCCAACACCACTGCCCACCATGGGGGTCCCAGAGGGTGACACAGTCACGCTGCACCCCTCAATGTCCCGTCTGCTGTGGGGGTCCCAGGGGTGACGTGGTCACACCGCCATCCCCAGTGCCACCATGGTGGTCCCAGGGGGCACACGGTGACATCACATCCCCAACACCACCGTGTCCCCCACAGCCTGAGGACATCGGCCAGTCCCCCATGGCCTCCATGCCCGACGGGGACAAAGTCGACCTGGAGGCGTTCAGTGAGTTTACAAAAATCATCACCCCGGCCATCACCCGCGTGGTCGACTTTGCCAAAAAACTGCCCATGTTTTCAGAGGTAATGGCGGGCTGGGGAGTTTGGGAGGTTCTGGGGCGATCTGCCCAGGGTCTGAGTCACACCAAACCCCCCCCAAAACTGTTCCCATGTCCCCCCAGCTGCCTTGCGAGGACCAGATCATCCTGCTGAAGGGGTGCTGCATGGAGATCATGTCGCTGCGGGCGGCCGTGCGCTACGACCCCGAGAGCGAGACGCTGACGCTGAGCGGGGAGATGGCAGTGAAACGCGAGCAGCTCAAGAACGGCGGCCTCGGCGTCGTCTCCGATGCCATCTTTGACCTGGGCAAGTCCCTCTCTGCCTTCAACCTGGATGACACCGAGGTGGCCCTGCTCCAGGCTGTGCTGCTCATGTCCTCAGGTAATGGATGATGGGTGGAATGGGGTGGGCACCCCAGTGCCCTGGGAGTCAGAGGGTGTTGTGTTGGGTGGGCACCTCGATGCTCAGAACCCCCAACATCTTCAGAGTGGTTTGGGTAGGAAAGCGTGCACCCCTGGATTTTGGGGGGATTTGGGGTGGGCACCCCAATTCCCGGAACTTCAGGCAGCTGTGCCAAGGTGGGAGGGGTCCCAGGACCATGAGGTGGGCACCCCAGTCCTGGGTACCCAGGAGCACAGGCTGTGCCTCTTGGTCCCCTGGGTGGGACACTCAGCCCTGTGAGAGGGACAATGCCTGCAGGTGCTGGACTGGGAGAGGGACTCTTCCATGGGCAGAGAATGCCAGGACAACAAGGAGAGGTTTAAACTGAAAAGGGGAGATGGTGATGGGGTACATGGAAAAAATTCCCTTCTCTGAGGTTGGTGAGGCCCTGGCACAGGTTGTCCAGAGCAGCTGTGGCTGCCCCATCCCTGGAAGCATCCAAGGCCAGGTTGGACGGGGCTTGGAGCAACCTGGGATAGTGGAAAGTGTCCCTGCCCATGGCAGGGGTGGCACTGGAGGAGCTTTAACGTCCCTTCCCACACAAACCATTCTGAGATTCCACAGTCCCCTGACCATTCCCTGCTTCCCGCAGACCGGACGGGGCTGATCTGCGTGGAGAAGATCGAGAAGTGCCAGGAGACGTATCTGCTGGCCTTTGAGCACTACATCAACTACCGCAAACACAACATTCCCCACTTCTGGCCCAAGCTGCTGATGAAGGTGACGGATCTGCGGATGATCGGCGCCTGCCACGCCAGCCGCTTCCTGCACATGAAGGTGGAGTGTCCCACCGAGCTCTTCCCCCCCCTCTTCCTCGAGGTCTTCGAGGACCAGGAGGTGTAGGGCTGACACCCCCCACCCTGTGCCCCCCCAACCCCGCTCTGGCCCCCCCAAAATCTTTCTCATCCCCCTGTAAGGACAAGGGGATGCTGTGCCCAGGGTGGGGGTCCTGCTGTGCCCCCCAACAGCCATCCCCCCCGCCCCAGGACTTGACGAATTTTGTTTGTTTGCACAGGGAAGGGCCCCGACGGTCGAGCGTTCCCTTTATTGTCCTTCTCTTCGTAGATTATTATTTTTTAAGCATTTATTTCCCTCCCTGAGAGGCTAAAATATTAAACTAACTGCACTTTGGAAGGAGGAGGAGGAGGAGGAGGAGGAGGAAGAAGAGCAGGGAGGAGAGGAGGGGGCTCTGGGCTGCACAGGGAGAGGCTGCCCCGGCCGGGGGGCCGTGGCCATATGCACTTTTGGCCGGGCAGCAATTTGGGGGGCTGGGGTGGGGGCCAGGACCCCCCCCCATAGCAGGGCAGGGGCTGGAACCCCCATCCCCCATAGTGGGGTGAGGGCCAGGACCCCCCCATAGCAAGGTGGGGGCCAGGACTCCCCCCTACAGCAGGGTGGGGGCACGGGGGGGGCACAGGGGTGGCGAGGGGGGACCCCAGCCCATCGGGGTGCAGGGCTGGTGGACCCCCCCCCAGCCCACTGGGTCTGCCCCGGCTGGGGTGATGCCCCTGTGTGCCCCCCCTTATCCCCAAATTTGGGGCCAGATTTGGGGTTTTGGGGGTTCTCTTGTCTTTTTGGGGCTGAGAGGAGATGACTTTGTGCCAAGCGCCGCGGATGGTGGGCGCTGCAGGACACTGGGGGGGGGGGGCGGCCCCCCCCCCCACCCCCC